TATTCATGTACTATTTATCCTCATAATTAGTTGATATATTGATGGTCAAAATAAATTGTATAGTTAATTATTTAGGAACAAATTTTTTATAAAAAGTATAAATTAAAATATAGATGTTAAATATAATATAATATAATATAAAATAATTTTATAAATGATGGTACATATAAAGTACAATTTAAATTTAAATTTAATTTTTTTTAAAAAAGAAAGAATGTAATAATTATTTAATCAAATAAAATATAAATTAGATATATGCTTTTTGATTAAAAAAGAAAAAAGGAAAAAAAAAATAGTGTTAAAGCCAAGACATGATGATGTGATCATAATTGCTTAATTAAAAAAATTAATTTGACTAATTAATAATTAACTTTATTAATTAACAAATTATTTACTTATCCAATTGGATATACAAATATTCTAAACACTATTTAATTATCATGGCCAAGTAAATATTAATTTTTTTTCTTAGCTTGAAAAAATATTTTGTATAAAGAGTATATATCTTAATATTTTATTTTTTATTTTAATTATTTTGACTTGATAAATTCATAGGTAAAATTATATTTATATAAAATATTTTTTTTAAAATGGGTCATCACTATTTAAAATAATACAAAACAATACAAAAATATATATATATATATATATGTATCTTTATATTATATGTGTACACAATATATACCCATAAGTTAAGAGCACCAAAGCACTTTGGAGAGCTCCTATACATGATATCTCCTTCTATGTTGTGTAACAAAGTTGCTTTTAAAGTACTAAGATTTTTCTTCGGCATCTAAGTGACAATTTTATGTTTTGTGCTTTATCTCGTAACTTATTTTTACTTTACTTCTGATTGAGACCAATAAAAATATATTACAGTTCAAATATACTCTTTTATCTCTAAATGCTTTGGAAACAATAGTTACGGTGGTCGTTCAAACGATCATTGCAATACTGTAGACAAATTTAATTTTTTTTTGAAAAATTTTTGATCTCTTAAGTTACGAAAAAATTACCTAATATTGTTAAAAGTTTATAAAAGATAAGCACAAAATTATTGTAATATAATAATTGAGTTATTGTAAATGAAATATATTATATAAGAAATAATTATTTTTTTATATATATAAAATTCGCTATATTTATCTCAAATATAATGTTGCATATAATTCAACTTATACTAAGTATATAGAACTTAAAATGATAAACAAAATTCTCGTAGAAAATATAAATTTTATAAAAGTAAGTAAATTTTAATTTTTAATTAAGAATAAAAGCAAAATTTTAAATGTAAAATTATATATTACGAGATTTTATTTTTTTATGAAATAATTTTTATACATTATCTAAATGAATATATAAATTATATATATACATGTAAGTAATAAAATGTTATTTTTAATTAAAAATAATTAAACACATATCTATGTGGTGGCAGCATATCCAAATTCCACCGTTAGCGGAGGAGTTCAGAAGAGACAAAAATCGAGTTGACCGTTGACGAAGTCGAAGGGCATTTACGTAAATAAGATTAAAGCTGGGGTTAATTTCACTTTCTTTATTCTCCCGCTCACCAAATGCCCTTTTGCTTTTCCTTCATTTTTCTTTTTGGACTGTCTGATATTTTCATCTCTTGGTTGGTATTTTTTTCCCAAAAACCCTAAAAAACCAAAAGAAACCTGAGACTCAGAGATGATGAAAGAGAAACTTCCATTACAGCAGCTTTTCAAATATTCAACCTTCGTCTCGGGATTTTCAAGACTTTTTTGACCGTTAAACTTCTCGGCTTACTTGTAAGTTTGCTTCTCATTTTATTTTTGGTTCTACTGCGTGAGTTGAGTTTTGAGCTCTTTCTCTTTCTCCATGGTTTTAAATCTTTTTTCTTTTGGTTTCATTGATTCATTTGTAATTTGAAGTTGTAGTTTGGGGTTTAGAATTACGATTTTCGTGGTCATTTTCAGTTTTCGGTATGTTTTCAGCTTTTTAACTGAAAACTCTGCTTCAGCTCATTGCTTCGATTGGCTGCTGGGAAAGTGATGGGAAGTTATTCAATTTAAAGTCTATGCAATTGTTCTACTACCTAAATTGAGAAGTTTGAAATTTTATCAAGTTTTCTTCTCTTTCTTTCTTTCTTTCTTTTTTTTTTTTTTTGTCTCATTTCATTTTCTTTAACCAATCAAGCGAAGTCGTTTAATTCTAGCACATATGAGAAAAGAAAAAGCTATTCGCAACGGGTTTTTGGTTTTGAATTTTAGTACTTGTATTATTTCCAGTGCATGTATGCCGTTTCTTGTTTTGGTGACCTTGTGCGCTATGTGTTTCTGACAAGCTTATTATTAAGTTCCCTATTTATGGAATTTGAACTAAATAGTCTGCTCTTTTTTGTTTCAGTCATTATTGTCAAACTCTGTAGTCATTGGATTTGTTGACTTCTCAAAAACTGGTGAGTTTAAGAACTATTAGTTGTAACATGGATTCGCGTGATGATGGGACAAGTGCTAATGTTAGAGAGGGTGAGAATTTGGAGGTTGAGTTTCTTGAGGATTTTGATTCATATCTTGAAGATATTAAGGATAGGTTGACCATTTCAAGGATGGTGAGTGACTCTGTCATCAGGGCCATGGTCAACGCCGTTGAGCAGGAAGCTTCTGAGAAGATTGCTCAGAAAGACTTGGAAATTGCTAGCTGCAGAAAATTTTAAATCATTATAAAGTGCATCCAGATGAAAATGGTTCTTTAGGGTATCAAGTGATGCGGAAAGAGTCATTTTCAAGCTTTTCAGAAGTTCTGCAAGAGCATGGCAGTATAAGAATATCTTTAAGCTGTCTTAAAAATGTATATAAAGAGCACTTTAAGATGCTAAGGAAAGAAGTTGACAAGATCAAAGCATCTAGTTCCATGAGGAGGATTAATTCAGGTTCTGAGTTGGTGGGACTGGGTGGTATTTTAGAAGAAAATGTATCCAAAACATGGATAAACATTGACAAAACATTTGATAGTTTAAAGAACACAGTAGACACTTCATTCAAGCATATGGATGATATGGTACGCTTGTCTGATTCATCTCTTTGGCAGTGGCATCTGGAGCGTGAATTTCAAGAAGAGATTGAGGATATGGTGATAAGAAATTGTATTAGGAGTCTTAAAGAAGAGTTTGAAAGAAATTTATGGGAACAAAATGCCCAATTACACTGTAACAAAAGTTTAAATTGGCTTGAGAAGATGAAAGAAATCTCAGGTTTGCGACAGGAGTTGGATGCAATTTCGAAGTCACTCTCTGTTCCTGAAATTGGGCAGTCAACTTCTCTTGGAACAGATCATTTTCACTGCAAGGTTTCAGGCAATCATCTTCTGTCCTCATCACTTTGGGAGGGGAATGGAAAACATGAAGAGTCACTAATCACTATTCCAGAGAATCTGGACGTTGCCCAATTAAAGCATATGACAAAGGATGAATTAGTGAATTACTTTAAGATTGAGATGGGTAAAATGAAGAGAGACCATGACTATATGATTCATGAGATGACTGAAGATTATTTTAGCCTCAAAAGAGAATACTTGAGGGAAAGGAGTTCTTCGTGGCCTTTGAGGAAGGATAAGGAGTTTGATACGTTGAGGAAAATGATTCCAGATATCATTTTGAAATTGGACAACATTCTTGTAGAAAATGAGAAAAATCCTGCCTATAGCAACAATTCTGAGAGCCTTGATACTTTGAAGAACAGATTAAATTCCCTTCTTTCAGAGAATCACCAATTAAGGGACTTGCTTACGGACAAGAAGAAGGAAGTAAACCGCCTTTTGTCACAAGTTTCTGATGCTGCAGAGAAGATCTCACAACAATCTTTGGCGGAGCAAGGTTTTTCGGAGGTGATCAGAAATCTTGAATGTGCTGTTGAAGATGCACATATTGAAGCTTCTATGAATAGCGATGTCTATAACTGCCTTCTCAGAGAGTTGATGGCCCAGGTTCAATGCATCACCAAGTCAGATATGAAACAAGATATTATTCAAGAAGTTTATCCAATTCTGTTAAGAGAAGCTGCTTCCGAAGCTGCACAAACAAGCAAATGCCACTGTGAAGATTCAAATATTGAATTGCTTATTATGCAAGATTTATATGGAGTCATATTCAGAGAAGCCATCAGAGAAGCTGAAGACAAGCTCAGCGACATGAACACAAAATATGTTGCTGAAAAGGATAGTCGAATTGCACTTGGAACTAATTTATTGGAAAGAGAAAGAGTGCTAAGATTGGAGGTGGCCGAGAAGGAAAGATTGAAGCAGGAGATACTCTTGTTGGAAGCTTTGCATGAAGAAAGAGAGAAGTTATTGCAGCAATCTGAGGATGCATTGGCTAATGAAAGAAAGAAATTTGTCTTAGCATCTCAGGAATTAAACAATTTATCAGATCAGTTAAATCAGCAACAGAAAGAGATGCTGGAGAGCTGTGAAAAATCAGAGGTTCTGAAGAGTGATTTAGATGAATCGATGAAGCAAATTGAGCTATATAAGTTGGAAATAAACAAGTTAAGTCATAAGCTTGAACTGACAATGAAAGAGTTGACTGAAACCAATGATGAGAAGAGTATGCTTCTTGCTGTGAACCGAGAAAAGCAGAACTCTTTGTTAAAGGTTGAAGCAAAAGATAAAGAACATAGAAAGCAAATGAAATCAGTGGTTGTTCTTGTTGAGGGATTATTGAAAGAAGTGGCTGATTTTGAATGTAGGATAGCAGAAAATATAACTCAGAACAATTTGAGGTACTTATTTACCCCTATCTATTTTTTATTTCAATTTACAAATCTACATTTAGCTATTATGGATGCCATTCGTTTGTTTCTCTTGCATGTTTTATCTACTAGTTACGACTGATTGTCGTACAGAATGTCTCTGAATGATGAAATGGAAAATCGTCTGATAAGGGAAACTCTCTTTGTGGGGAAAGGGGGTGGTTTGGGTAGGTCCAGAAGGATTATTTTCATACTAGTGATTTTCATTTATGTATAACCCTAATAACTGAAATGTTCTTGTACCTGAATTCCTATGCTGACTTGAAAACTCTTCTTTTTGGTAATAACTCTAACTTTTATATGATTTTTTTAGCTGCCCCTAACTTAAGCATCTGACAAATCTGGGTTGGTCTAGGACTCTTTTCATACTAGTTTTCTGTAGATGGTGGACTTTCATTCATGTATGAACTCTACTTACTGAATCGTTATTTTGTATCTGAATTCTTATGTTGACTTGAAAACTCTTCTTATTTGGACTAACACTAACTTATATGATTTTTTGAGCTGCCCCTAACTTACAAATGTTAGTTTGTATCTGAATTTTCATATGTTGACTTGAAAACTCTTCTTTTTGGTAATAACACTAACTTTTATGTGATTTTCTGAGCTGCCCCTAACTCGAGCATCGGGTAAATCTGGGTTCTAAATTTAGGCTGGCAAAATTGGAAACCTGCCTGATTGTTAAGTCGGCAGAAATCTTGTAATGATCCTTACCATAGTTTTGTTGTTGCATTTTTGGGTTAATAAAGTGAGTCTCAGGCATATGAATTTCTTTAACAACTGTCAATAACATATGTTCTTAGGAGTAACTCACCTGTCAGGTTTGAATCTGCCCCTTAGCATGGTTATGGTGTCAAAATTGGTGAAATTTGGAAGTTGGACTCCAATAAAAGCTAATGCAGATAGCTCCTATTTCATCAGAGATACTTTTAATAAAGCATGCTATTCAGATTATGCTGGAGTGATGATTTAGGTGGCCTTGGTTCTCATCTTGAGGACAGTCAATTTAGATAGGCATGCTGAGAACCATATACAAATCAATCTCCTCAAGAAGGTACTTTGTGTCTTAATTATTAATACATGATAACTTGATGCTTGGATTGTATCCACCAAAGAAATCTTTTTCTAGATTTACACGTGTCAAACTTTACACCTTGGTGCTGTAAGTCCAACTTCTTACATGAACTGCTCCTATCTATTTTCTGCCACCTACTTTCACAAATCTTTTGTCTTGGTAGCATTCATCTTTAAGTCCATGCTCAGAACTAGTTGACATGAAAGCCATAAAATGCAAACGGCTTAAATTTGGGATGGTTGTCTTGACATGAAAAACTGTAATGTGCAAGTGACTTGATTTTCAGGTTGAAAAGTTTGAATTTTCTATTCAATTCTCTTATTGAGAAAGTTGATTTAATCAAAACAAAGGAATCAATGTACAAGCAGAGGCTTGAAAGGAGATGTTCGGACCTTCATAAGGCTGAAACTGAGGTATGTCATCATGTATCCTCAGAATTAAATAGATTAATATGCTTTATTTTCATGTCAGTTTCATAGTTTGTGTCACACTGTTAGTCTGCTGATAATAACAAAACTTTTGGGTATATATTATATAACATCGCAATTCGTCCTGGATTTACACGTGCTTTCATTTCTCATACCAACATGTACTGCTGCACCTTCAGTGCAAGATTTATATTTAGTTGATATTGCTCCTCATAATCATGTGGCATCTCAACATTTTAAAGTATTCTTTTTAGTTGTTTATTGCTCCTTGGCAGATGTTGAGAAATAAGATATAGGCAATATTCTGTGTGGAAAATGCTGTGGAGTTGTGTTACCTGCACTAATTGATCTACAAGAGGGCAGAAAAACTAAAAACAAGATATTGAAAAGTGGAACTTAAAGGATCCTTTTATCTATGGGGTTGTTTAAGCAGATAAAAGGTGTTTGAGATTGCTTACTTGCTGCTTATAAGCAGCTTTAAGCACTTCTTTTATTCTTTAATAATGTAGAAAGAATGGTGCTTAATAGAAGGAGCTTAGGAGGAGCTTTTAAACATGTAACAAATAAACACTACATTTCTAACTCTTTATTTCTTTTATCAACTAATTCATTAAGGTACTCATTCGAAATCATCATAAAATTAAAAATATATACTTATAAATATAATGTAGGTTAAATACTATGTTTTGGCACATTTAACTCCATAATTACCATTGTTACTTTTTACAAACCCATAACTGGTTATTTTTCGAATAAGAATCTACTTGTGTTGAATAACTTAATGCGCTCAACTACTTTTAAGTATATTTTCTTCAGTAATTCCTAAAATTTTCCATGAGAAAAGGGGGAAAAAATGATGAGCTAAACATTCAACTAGTTTAAGTACATTTCCTTCAGCAATTGTAAACACTCAACTGCTTCAAATACGCGGGCTAGATAAAAAATAAGTGAATGCATAATGATGAGTGGGTTAGATGGAAAATAGTGCAAATATTTTAGGTGATTTACTCCAACCTTGCAAACCAAAAAGGTTTTGTATAATGTTTCTTTGAATGGAAAATTGACTTTTGTGATTCAGATAATTCTTATTACTTCAGAAGTCAAAATTTAGAAGCACGTTACCTTGGCTAGAAGGGGAGTAAAAGAAATCAATTGAAAGATTTTTGCATATTAATGCATACAGTAATGATTGTTGTCATGTAAAATAACAAAAGTTTAAAATAGAAAAGTCTGGCGAGTCGCCGGAAACAGAGTAAACTGTTTTATACTGGGTTTTTGTTGTTTCTCAGTGCTGCTACTCATGTATTTATGCAAGTGAGGAATAACTACGAGCCAAAAGTACAGGAACTTCAATTAGGATATTCAAGACTGTCAAATGATCCTTTTAATAAGATATTCCTAAAAAGCAAGTTTTTCTTTTTGAGTATACAATTGTTTTTGGTCAATAGTCCCTAAAAAACAAACTTGAAATGTATATATGATTGTTGTATGATTGGCAGGTTATTTGGGTGGTAATGGTCCAATGTTAGTATTTTAAGCTTTCCTTATAGGTAATATTTGTAACAAAATTGTTCCAATGGTCGTGTGACGATATCATGTGTCGTTTGTGAATAAGTTCGAACTAGAATAAATTTCTAAATTTATCTTTCTTGAGTAAAAGCAATATTTTGATGGTCTTGGTCTTGGACTCAGGTTGATCTTTTGGGTGATGAGGTGGATACACTTTTGAGTCTGCTGGAGAAGATATATATTGCACTTGACCACTACTCCCCTATATTGCAACATTATCCTGGAGTAAGTCTACAGTTCTTTCCCTCTTGGAAGCACAGCATTTACAAATTTTGAAGTTTTTCTTGTCTGTTTTTTCCCTGAGCATAAGATGTATCTGATTCACTGGCATGACCTTCAGTACTTGGAAACACATTTACCGCTAACTAGTGCTTCTCAGTGAAAAGAATTTTAAACTGGACCGTGCATTTACCTAACAATATTATCGAAACTCACACGGTTATTTTAGCTGTTTTTGGCTGAAGGAATTCTTAGGTTGAGTTTTTCGTCTTTTTGATGGCTGCATTTGTTGCTTTTTATTATTTATGTCAGTCTTCATAATAGTTTTGTTTTAAGAAGCTAAAATTAGTTCCGCTGAGATTGCTATTATCCACTTGAAGTTGTTTTCATGAAAGCACCCTACAATTGCTAATATTTTCTCACTGCCGGTGATCATGTAGTATTGGATGGTACTGGCATATTTCTTTTTGAAATGCCAACATCAAGGATTTTCAACTTCTGATCATGACTTCTCAACTTTGAACCATTCATAATCTTTTCTTACCATGCTAGTTTAACTTATAATCTAAAATTAAGTTAGATGTGTATGGAAGCAAAATGAAATTTCATACAATTAATGGGCATGGTTGACTGAGATTTGTGAGTCATGCACCATGCGTGTGCAATTTATTTGAAAATTTAAAGTTTGAGACTCTATGCAATTTAGTTAAGGATGGATGAGGGATTTGAACATAGAACAACTTGAGTGAAAAGGGAAATTTTTAACATGCCTCCATATCATTTATCCTCCCTAGACTGGCTATCTTCATAGTTTAAATCCTATGAAGTAAACCAAATGTGGTTCCTTCTCCTAATCACTCAAGTTCCTTACAACCTCCAACCCCTGGAAAATAGTTGCTAACAAGAACATCTTTGGTTCTAGCCAATGGAAATAAATCAGGGAACTGGATGGGAGGTAGGGAAGAGCTGTAGCAAATTTCTTCCCAACACTAACTCTCTTCAAATTGCCACCTTGAAATGAATACACACCTCAACATCCTCCCTCCTTATTGATCCTTCTCCATAGACTAGAGCTACGTGGTCCCCTTGGCTTTTTTGGTCTTTCAACCTCATTCCTCCAGCTTGAACGTTGCCCTAGTAGTCCTCTATCATATGAAGCATAAAGTTCCAAAGCCATTTATGAAGAAATGCTCCATTGAAGCTCACTGAAGGCTTGATATCAACTCCTCCCAAGTTAAGAGGAAATTTAACTACATGACAAGCCCCCCACATGGAATCTTCTTTCTCCAATAAATTGGCCCTTAAAGGCATACCCGAGTACTTTGAAGGCAAGGAAGACAACCTAGAACTCAAGATCCTAGCTTATGACTCCATGTACCACTCTTTTCTCACTTTAACTTAGCCATATTAATCTTCAAGCTCAGGACTTCCTAGAAGTAAAGAAGAATGCTTCTAATGTTAAGGATAACTTTGAAACTACATTTGGAAAATGATAGAGTATCATCGACAAAAAGTAAATCAGATCACCTCCACATCTTCCTCCCTGTCGTCACAGTCAAATCCTAAATCATTTGTTGGTTCTTCACTCTAGCAATAGTATATTGAGTGCCTGAATGAAAATATGATGATAAGGGCAGAGAGAGGGCAAGCTTGTCCCAAGCTCCTAGAGGTGCAAAGAAATGCAATAATTAATCCATGGGCGCCACTTTTCCACAAAAACTGATCTTCTTTGCATGTAGAGCGGAAATGCTTAAGATACATGATCATAAACTTTGTCCATATCGAACTTGCAAATAAAGCCCTTCTACGCCACTTAATCATGGAGGCAACAACCTCATAAACAATGGAAGCCACATCAAGAATCTATCTCCCTTTACAAAAGCATGTTTGAATTCCCCGACCGCTCTCAACCACTCTATTGAGCTTCTAGTAGAACCTAATCAAGACATTTACAAATATGCCCAACAACACTATCTTGGAACTTATTTTTCTTCAGGAGTCTTAATGATTGAGTCTGTTGATATGATCTCTTTGCTGAACATCCTTGCTCCTTTTAGCGTCTCTCCATTATCCAATAGCAAAATTTGGACCATGAACCTCTAGTTTGACCCAGAAGTCTCTCTTTTCTCACCTCACTTATAATTTAAATTGTCATAATGAGACTTTCAACATTTCTGGAAAGCCAAAGTTCCTTCTAAGTTCAAGGTTTCTATTTGGATGACTGTTCAGAACAGGCTCGACAATAACTATTTCTTGCAAATTTGCAATCCTTCTTGTCTTTTTCTGAGATGTGTTTTATCTGTCTCAAGGTGGGTGTGGTGTTCACTCTTTCCTTGAGTGTTTCCTCTTTATGCACCTTAGTTGGAGGTGTGTGGAAGAAGGAAGATAGTATGCTTTGGGAGGAGGAGTTGCTTGTTTTTGAGTATTATGGTTGGAGCGGTAATGCTAGATTCTTTAAGGATTGTCATTTTTATTCATCTCTCCTTTGGGATAAAATGGTAATTTTTGCTGCTTTTTGGGCAAAGGCTCATGATTTCTTTATGGATAATTTTGTGGCTAAGTTCCAAATGGAGTGGGAGGCATTGATTTTGATGCTTTTCTTCCTTTTTTTTTAAATTTTTCTAGGACTTGTCATACCTCACATCTATGCCTTTTAAGTTATGGTAATTTGGATGTAAAACTTCTAATGAAGTGTTGTTTGTTGCTTGTAACAGATTATTGAGATCTTGAAGCTTGTTAGAAGGGAATTGACTGGGGGTCTACTAGTCTGATTGACTTTATCTTGGTAACATTCCATTATTTAGCTTTCGAACTAGAAATGTGCACTTTATCTGTCTGCCAGAGGATTTGTAGACAGTTCTTTCTTTTTGATACCAAAATATTATGAAAATTTACATAAGACCATCATGTATTTTAGAATCTTAATGACCATTCTATGCCATTTACTTCATGCATATGGCAAATAGGATTTTTGTTCAACAATTAAATATTAACATTAAGGTGACTACATTTATTTAAAAAAAACATTAAGGCGAATACACATATTTGCACGCGAGAGAATTTAAAGGATAGTTTTCTCTACAATATCGATTATAAATATTTCTTAAAATTATCCCTAAAAGATCTCTCTTCTGGGAGAAGTTTAAGTCTCTCCAGATTCATCAATCTCTAAATTATCATTCTTCTACTTCTCTGAAGAATCCCCAAACTTATATGTCCTTCATCCTCTGCTCTAAATGCATTTCTCACTTTAGATCTGTTTTGTTATGTTTGATAAAAGTGAACATTAGTTTGTGGAATGCATTTGCAAATCGACATTTATTTTATATGAATCCATACTTAATATATTCTCTAAGATAAAGTATCTCGAATCTATTAACTTTATTAGAATTTGAAATGTATTGTGTCAAGTTTAGTTAGAATAATTTAATAGGTTGTTTTTTCAATTGCTTTGTAAAGGTTTCGCTATGGTTGCTTTGTAAAGGTTGTACATCCTCTCATAGTAAAACCAGTGAATTTTCAAGTAGATTTTACAAATGAAGTTCATCTTCTACATTTATATTTTTAATTTCTCACTAAAACATGAATGGTTAGAGGTTCATTACTTCCTTTCTTTGTTCCTTTCTGGTGCTTCCGTACGAAGAAACTAACAGATTTCTATTTGCAATGAATGGTTTACAGGGCGAGACTAAAAGCTAGTCCCACATAAAGCTTCTGGAATCACATCTTGGTCTCTGAAATCCTGGTCAAGTTATTATTTTATTGTTTTTACCGATGATACCTCACAGCTCATTTTTGGTCCTGACAACCCGTTAAACAGAGCAAGATGAAGAAGAAAAGTTTGCAGAGGCAACAACCTGCAGTAACTTGTTTTTGGTAGGTGTCTTCAGTTGGAGAGTATTGGTGGGACACTTCAGATTGATTCATATTCTTAATTTTGGGCGCTGAGACGACTTAACGTTTTTCTTTTCGAGTGTAGGTATATAGTCTGTACTTAAGCAGAGTCTACCACAATTAGCTCTTTTTGTATTTACCAGTTTCTTCTTCTACCAATTTGCTCCCCCCATTTTTTCTTCTTCATATAATATAATTAGGCTATACATGTAACGTATGGGTGTTCCTGTTCCACGGCTTAATGAATGAAGAAAATTTCTTAATGATTTTTTGGAATTAATGTAGGGTAAAAACCCATGTCATATGGGTGATCTTCTCTACCATTCTTCAACAGCTGGACATACTGTTAAGAGGTGCTTTCTCTTGCCTTTTCATTTAATGTATACAATATACATTTATATACAGAGATCTGAACAATGATTACATTGCAATTGAACAAAAGCTTGATGGAGATGCTTATTTCAATCAGTCCAACTCGATAAAATCTAGCATAAAGCCCTAGTAATCGATCCGACCCCTGTCCAAAGTTCGTATAATTCGTGGAGAATTATATTAGTTGAACTTTAAATATATAGTTTCGAATTCTAGATTGATCGCATAATCTCATTTCGATGAGTTGAGTTAGATTCAAATTTCGATTTCATCAAATAAGGATGAGAATACAGTATTTAGTTAGTGCATATACATAATCAACTTATGCATATTAAATAATCAAGAATATAAGAATGGAATAAAAATAGCATAAATATGAAGTAAATACAAGAATAATATAGTGATCGAGGAAACAATTCCTCGGAATAAAATAAAATTTGCTTTCGAGTAAACTTTTATAATCTAAATCGTTATTTTATCTCTCGTATTCTATCTATATAAGAAAAAAAAAATACCATAATCACTTAAAATCGAAACGTTTATGAATTTCATTTTTAAATTAATTTTCAGAAATGAGATTTCGAGAATTAAAAGAAAAAAGTTCAAATTTGGGAGATTAATTAAAATATAAGATATGTTTATGTAATTTATATATTACTTATTTATTTTTATTGAAGTTCATTAAAGAACATATAAAATTTAATTTTAAATGTAAGAATAATGTACATTATTGAAGGTGGAATTATAAATTGGTGATGGTCAAACTTTTGAACCATAAAATAAATATGCCAAGATTTTCTAGTCTTCCTTTTATTTTTGTAATGAATATTATATATATATATATATATATATATCAAAACACACACACATATATATGACTTAATTTATAAGATATTTTGTTAATTATGTGTGTGTGTGTGTGTATATATATATATATATATATATATATATATAGGCATGTGTATATATGTATTATGATTTTGGGGAATAAAGAACAACCGGCCTGGTAAAAAAACACATGAAAGACATTCAGCTTCAAGGAGAAGACATAATTAATATTCAGAGTAACGAAATTGACAATCACTACCATACAAAATCTTCTCCGATTATATATACATATATGTATATCTGTATCTATATCTATATCTATATGCACTTGTATTAAAACTGGAACCCATTTTGCATATTGATTCTTAAGTTTTTAGGTTCCTATAAAAAAGTAATCTTTTCTTATTATTATTTCTTGATTTGATTTTTTTTTTTTTTTTTTACCCGATTTCAGTCCTTATCGATCTTCATTTCACTTGTCTTTCCTTCTTTGTCTCCTCTCTGCTTCTTCTTCTTCTTCTTCTCCGCTTGCCAACACACAGATTGACGAGAGGTGTTCTGGTCGAATGAGATGAAGAACAGGCAGAGAAAGAGAGACGTATGGGCTTTCGGGAACACAGAAGAGCAAGTAGAACAAGTGTATGAAACTGGAGACGGATGCGGCGTCGTTTTGGGATTGGATGGTGGTGCTACTAACACTGTTTGCGTCTGCATTCCTTTCCTTCCCTTCTCTGATCAACTCCCCGACCCTCTCCCCATCTTGGCTCGGGCGGTTGCCGGCTGCTCCAATCACAATAGTGTTGGAGGTTTGTCTTTTCTCTCAATTATATCTTCTGTTCTTCCCTGCTATCTCTACTATTGGTGTTCTTCTGTTTTTTCCACAGATTTTGCGTTGATGAAATTTCCAACTGTTCTTTTTCGTTCTCTTCAATGATTAAAGATCATGATCGTGGGGCTTTTTGAGTGTTCTTTGTTCATTCCGGCTATGAATTTTAGTGCCATGCGAGGTTATTCATGAAATGTGGCTTCTAAGTTTTGTCCGACTGGCAATCAGTCGTGGTTAAAAGGGGTTTGTTTTCAACTCCTTCACTTTCTAAAAAATGCTTATTTGAAAGCCCTTGATCTGTTATTTGATTGCTTCTCTGAATTTCAGTTTCACTTCTGACTTATACTATACCCGCCTTACTTGGGATTTTAAATTTATGATAACCTTGAGTGAGTCCTATCATTTTTGTCTACTGCCTCCTAGAAATAGTATCCACCATAGTTCTTTGTTCTATTATGTTTTTTAACTTTCCCGGGGGCTTGGGCAGTGGGAATATAAGCATTCCACTCTTTTGTTTTAACGTCCCAGTAAGCTTCAAGTATCTCCTTTAGTTTGTGGAGGTACCAGATTTTGGTAATAAAGTTTTTTTTTTCTCAGAGAATTTTGCCTTACAACCTGTTACTGTATTTGTCAAGTTAGTTCGTTCAAACCTAATGCAAGAGCCTAACTGTTCTTGCTACCATATCCCTAACAACAATCAGATAATGACAAGAATTCCCCATGTTTTTTTCTATTAAGGGTTTCTTGTTAATTTTAATTCTGTTATGGGTGTTTTACTATTTAAAGATCTTGTTCTATGTGATTTATTGACTCTTTTGAATGTGCTTGGTCTTATGAAATTGAAAATGCAAACGAGAATCAAGTTTCAATATCCAATAGATACGTTAATTTACTTCTGTCTGGAGAACTTCTGCCTGTACTACTTCTGAGTAGTTTGCAGGCTATACATCAATGCAATTTCCAACTAGTAGTTGTATTTATCCTGGCCTCTTTTTGAAGGCCAAGCAGAGATTGGTTATCATGCCAACTTTCCTGACAAAATAAATTACCTAACTGCCTGAAAAAGCAGTAGAAGGAAGTCTTATGTCGTTTTGATCCTCTGATCTTTCTTTGTGAATCATATGCTACAGAAACTGCTGCCAGGTATACATTGGAGCAGGTTATCGCTGAAGCGCTTTCAAAATCAGGTTTCAGTCGATCAGCTGTACGTGCTGTTTGTTTAGGTGTTTCAGGGGTTAACCACCCTACGGACGAGGAAAGAGTATTAAATTGGATAAGGTATGGTATCTGAAATTATCTTAGTGTTTTTTCATTCTGCAGTAATTCATCCCCATATCCTCATATATTAAATGAGTGGGTTTCTACCAAACTGCTTGTGGACATTGTATAACATGCTTTATGTGAAAGTAAATATAATCTTCCCTATTTTGACATCTACTTTTTTTTTTTCTTTTCAGTGGAGTTAGAACTAGCTTTTAAATTTTCATCTATATGTTCATTTTTCTCTTCTTTTGTACAGACAACCCCTTGGTGCCTATAATAATATACTTCACTGTTTATGTTGAAGAAAAAAATGTTTATTCTTCTCCTTTTCAGTAACTCCATGATACTAGAATCACTATACTTGCCTGAGATTTTGCTTGTCAAATTTCTGCCTCTACGAACTTTTGTTGTAATTTCGGGTCTCAATGTGCTAACATCAGTTCAAACAAGAGAAATTATCATGATATGATATGTGTAGATTGTGTACAATGGTGGAAGATGGTAAATGGGACTGACTTTGTTTAAATGGGATTAAGGTGATTGGATTAAGTTGAGCGAGAATTTTGCTTGTCCATATCATGGTACTAAATGTTTAACAAATTTGGGAAATTTTCAACAGCTTTCACATATGCCATCAGCAATATGTTGCACAGTTAATCATGGATGAACTAAAAGTAACATAGCTCCTCTTTCAAACTGATTAACACAGTTAATCACGCATGAACTAAAAGGAACATAGCTCCTCTTTCAAACTGATTAAGAATAAAAACATCCACTATGAAAAGGTGATCTTTTGACACCTTTAAGATGACATATGCACTTCTAGATCTAGCTTCCACATTTCATTACCCTAATGAAATGTGGTGATTGAGGATCCACTATCATTTTCTTTTTGGCCTCTCTTGAATGTTCTCTTTCCAATATTAAATGCCTAAAGAAATAGGAGCTTATCTATCAATATATTGGTCCCTCTAAAACTGGTCCTGAATCTTCTGATCAAAATACTCCCAGGGACATATTCCCTAGTCATGTCAAGCTGTATGTTCAAAATGATGCGGTTGCAGCTTTAGCAAGTGGAACAATGGGGAAAGTCCATGGCTGTGTTTTAATTGCTGGTACAGGGTGCATATCTTGTGCTTTTGATGAAGATGGTAGAGAAGCTCGTGCTGCTGGTGCTGGGCCTGTCTTGGGTGATTGGGGAAGGTACGCACTCTAATGGGTGTCTTTTCTTATCAAAATTACTATTGGATGATATCTATGTTTTCTCTTTCCTTTTTTACTGTTTAATACCTTAAACCATTCGTGATGTAAGCTAGAATGAGTCAGGAGGAAGGAAGTCAGAATCTTAATTAACTGTTTGTTTCAAAATTTAATGAACTAATAACCAGTTTATTTTATTTCATTTCAGTTGAAACTAACCTAACTGATGTCTTTTTATTATTATTATTTTTTTCATATAAGGGATTAGTGTGTTATACCTTACTGTAGCCTTCTACTTTCTTCAGATTGGTTCAATTTTCCCCTAAAATGAAGTTCATTATTCACATTGCATGAGTTATTCACCTTTGTATTCCTTCATACGAAATGGATTGGTTTCGAATAAATATTTTGATGAATTATGTTGCAATAATGCAGTGGCTATGGGATTGCTGCACAGGCATTAACAGCAGTAATCAGAGCTCATGATGGTCGAGGTCCAGAGACAATGCTTACAGGTTCTATCTTGAAGGCGCTTGGTCTTTCTTCTCCTGAGGAACTCATAGGGTATTTCTCTTTGCAATTAATGGAATGGTAGTCAAAATTTGCTTATAGTTTTTGCCTAAATGTTAAATTGAACCTTGTGTGTTGGTTGGAGAGTGTTGGGAGGGGTTTCATTTTCTCTTAGTTAATTTTATTTAATCTTGTTCCAAATAGAATTGATTGATACTTCTCACATTGTTTTTCGGTTTTTCAATTTGAGCATTGTGAAACCTTAAGATTTATGAAAATTCCCACTTCTGGTTTAGTTATTTTATTTAATGTAAGCAATCAAAGTTTTTAGCCCTGAAAAATTTGTGTTTTTGATTGATTGAAGATCTCCTTCAATGCCATCTTGATCGATTTGGTCCATTTTTCTGATGGACTGACAGAC